AAGATGCTGCCAGCAAATGCACTAAAGGAAACAATATAAGAACCATCTGGACACGACTATTCTTTGTAGAATTCCATTATAGATAGATAGATAGATAGATAGATAGATAGATACACACACACACACTCACACACATGCATACACATTTTTCTCTAAAGTCACCAGGCTTGTAGTACAATAAAAATAGCAAAACTCTAAATTAACACACAGAGTTTAAAACATTTCAGGAAAGCATTGATTATATCTGCCAATGGAATGAGTGTATTTGGCAAATGACCTAATTATCACAGAGTTGGTTCTTTCTCACTGCTCTACTTCCCGCTAATTGCATAACTGCTGGCCTTCTCCCCCTGACAAGGAAGAAAAACAAGGACAGGGGTGTGTGGAGAAAACAGTGACATTCAGTTTTAATTCATTTGAACCTGCTGCCAAGCTTAATTATGTAATTGGGAGAGTGAGACGGGTGGGCTTACAGCCACTTGGGCCAGAGTTTCTGATGGTTAGCATTTGCCAGTGTTGTGTTGAGGATTTTAGCAGTTACCATAAAGCATTATTAGCTGAAGCTGAACTAATCTCCCCTTACCCTTCTCCTCACCAGATGTAGGTACAGAGGTTGCTGTTCCCAGACTTGATTATTTGTCATTAAGGAAAACAAATTGAAAGCAAATTGAAGTGGCTTTATTCCTTGCTAAATGCATCATTATTCTTTAGGAGCAGTCTCCTATTTCATTTTGTTTTCTTCTGATTGTGATGTAGTATCTGCTGTCATGTAAAACTCAGTAATGCAATGTTTATTTCCAGGTGGGAGTATTTTTTAGGGTTACTTGAGACATTTTTACATAAACTTTCATTGTAACTAGTAAAACTAAGTATATATGAAAAACACATAATTCAGTGAAATATTTCTGATGTGGTGGCTTATCCCCTATTTATAATTTTATTTATGAAATCTTTATCCCCTTGGCTTGGAGCCATCAATACAGATATTTTGTACAAAAGGGCCAACCTCTCTCTCCTTGCTGGCAGAATGACTCTTTATAAGTATACTTTTCTCCAAGTTTAGCTAGAATGTCCCTGATTTAGAGAAAGCTCAGGGTGTCTCATACCCTCACAGAAATGTCCTCTGTTCAGATTGGAGTTTAGTCCTGGTGGTCAGCATCTTCATTTTGTCATATCCTGTGTACCATGTGGGGTTGGAAAGGAAGAGCGGAAGCCAGAGAGAAGGCACGCTAGAGTAAAGGGTGGGAGTCATAAAATAAGGGGCTGCCTGCTGGGTGGCAGCATGGCTGAAACAGAACCTTGACCACTTAGCATTGTGTGCTCTTTATAGCCCAACAGTATTAATAGACATTTTTATCAGTTAATCCCTGTCATAGTTCCATGAAATAAGTTAACATTTTTTAAACGTGCTTTCCATTTATTTTCACAAATATTTATTAAGCGTAGGCTGGATGTTAGGTACGGTCCCAGTACCTGGGGCAATACAAAGAAACAACACCTGGTAATGGAGAGTACTCTTTTATCTTCCAGGTACAATGGGTGAAGGGGAGGATCCTTGTCTGGAGAAGGGCAACACTTTCATGAAGTTTCTAGATACGCCCACCCTTCTACCTTCTCAGGGATGTTATTCTATAAATTATCCACTTGTCCTCCTGAAGTTTTAATCTATTTTCTGCTTGATCTTTCCCATCAATATTCAACATTCAAAAATGTCAAGAACAGTATCTGCCCTATAGAAAGTGGTCAATAACTATTTGTTGAATAATTTACATGAATACTCAGCAGTTTCCTACCCTAGCTTCACGCTGGAATCAGGTCGTGCGCGCGCGCGCGCACACACACACACACACACACACACACACACACACACACAGCCATAGCATCTCCTGTCTTAAAGCAAACAAACAGAAACAGCTCAGTTGACCTTAGATCCCCTGCTAGCTAAATCTGTTTCTTAATTCCTTTTTCCCAGCCAAGATAACTGCAAAGAGGCCTGTAAATCCTCCTCCTCATCTTGCTCATACTCTTCAACTACTCCAGCAGGCTTCAATCCCCACCACTTGCCTAAAGCAAATCATGATAATGACATCATGTTTCTAAACACACTGGGCATCTTGAAGCTGTCTTGCTCAAACTCTCGGTAGCATTTCACATAATTTATCTCTCCCTCCTTCTCAGAGTACTTTTTTACCTTGGATTTGAGATATTTGATTCCCTTTTCATTTCCTTCTTCCTCTCTGACTCTCCAGCTTTCTTTGCAGTCTTTTCTTCTTATGTAATGCTTAAATGCTGAAGTTGTTTGAGTTCTAATTCTGGATCTGTTTTTTTTTATACTTATTCTGGGCATTTTTGACTATTTCCTGTAAATAACATCTATATCTTTGTGCTGTTGTCCTCCTGTATTTCCAATTTCATCTCCATTTCTGAGCACCCACCTAATATATCCAACTGTGATTTGGCATTTCTATTGAAATATCTCCAACATTTCTGACTCAACATGTCTCAGGCCAATATTTTAATTTTCCTTTTCCCCTGCTGGTTCTTCCTTGAGTCTTCCCATTTCAGTATATCACGTATCTATTCACCCAGTGGCTTATGGCAGAAACAAAACCAAACAAACAAACAAAACCAGTAGTAACCTTTGTCTATGTCTTTATGTCTTCCTTCTTCCCAATTCAATCAATCCATTTACAAAGCCCTGTTAATTCTGCCTCCAAAATACAACTCAAACCATCCATTTCACCCTATTTCATTGCCAGCTGCCATTCTTCTGGAATGTTGTAATAGCCCCTAAGTCATCTCCTGATTCCATTCTAGCTTCCCAGCTCCCCCACAACATGGCAATCTCAATTTAAAAATGCAGATCATTTCACACCACTGCTTCTTTAAAACTTTCAATAATGAACAATCAATAATTAAAATCTATATTATATGCTCTCATTTACTTTCGAGGAAGACCTACAATTTTGCAATTATATATTCATTTGTATGATCATTTGTTCTTGTCCATCTCCCAACACAACTATTAGTTGCATGAGTGGGAACTGAGGTTTTTTTCCACGACTGTATACCCTTTGCTTAGCGCAGTTCCTGAATGAATAAATGAGCCTATGAATGGATGAGGAATATTGGCCAAAGTATAAGGTACAAGGTGGTTCCCATCTCAATCTCATCTTAACTCATCAACCACTTCATTGACAAATGCACTGATCATATAAGCTCAACTAAATCATCTTATATGGAATTGTTTTATTCCATTCCATTTAAGGAATTTTCAAGAATTGATTCCTTTCTCTGATGAGCTTCAGAGGCTAGTAAAAATAGTTTACAATGTGGGAATATAAAGCAATTCATGGTATGGTGTATTTGAAAGGACACATGCAGACTTTACTTCAAATCCTGGATCTGCTCAATGAATGGCTTGTGATTCTAGTCCAGTTGGATCACCTTACCCGAGCGTCAGTTTCTTCATGTGTATAATGCGCATGAAGCCAGTAGTACATGGTGTTATTATGACTTCACCAATGTGTCAACTACCCAGCACAGAAACTGGCACGTGAGAGATGATATCCAGATTATAGTTTTGCTTTCTTCTCCCCTTGACCCTATTTCTTGACTATAACTTCCTACTTTTTTTTTCTATCTTACTCATCTTAGTGGGTGGTAATACTTATATTACCCATTTAGTTTGACTTTGTAGGAAGAGAAGAATTAGCAGTACTTACAGAACAGGCTTCCTTTTGGATTAGAAATACAAACTTCACAGCTTCTCTGCCCAGCTTTTCAAGAGCACTTTATGGTACACTGCTGTGTAACAAGTTCATTTTAGGATAACATGCTGGGAGGGAGAAAAAGAAGATGAAATTCAGGGGAAAAAATTAAAAAGTTAATTAAAAGAAACAACTTGGTAATTGGATTCATCCTTGCACACTTCTTTGGTTATTTTGGGGTGGGAGGAGGTGTCACAGTACATGGTTAGGAGGTTTGCTTCAGTGGCTCACCTCAGAACTTCTAAATGAGACAAGTATAAGGATACAGATGATTCTCTGCCTGACAGATGAGAAGAAGTATAGGATACATATGGTGAGCTTTTTAAGCATGCCAAACAAAGCTGTCCTTATACTCACTCTTGAGAATTTATATTTCACAATATTCTTGGCAGTTGACATTGCTGTTAGGCTAAGCCTTGGACTATTAGCTAGCTTCAGGACATGCAAAATGGCCTTTTCTTTGACTCTTTTACTATTTCTTTGCTTTCACTATGTATACACATCCACACAAGCACACAATCAGAATAGCATAGGGAATTTGTATACCCTTTTCAGACTGTACACTAGAAACAAGTAAGCAGATAGTGGTTATTTTTAAAAGAAGCATGGATATTTATGTATTTAATAATAATTTTTCACAGATCCTTAATAGTCAAAATAATTTAAGATGTTATCATTGAGACAGGATAATGGAGGAGCATGGGCTTAGTAATCAAATGGAACCAGGTTTTAAACCCTCTCATTCACAATATTTACTTATTCATGAAGTAGACATATATTTATTGAATGTCTACTGTGTGCCAAGCACTATTGCAGTTGCTGATAACCTTTTGCAAGTTCTTATTATTGTTTTTGTTAACATCAATATTTGAAGTTTTGAAAATTAACTTTAGGGAGACAATTTTCTGTATTTTCCAGCATTTTATGAAGAAAGAACACAGTTAAACAGTCTATTATCTTACTCACCAAATTAGGTTAAATTGGGTTACTGATTGTACACTCAATCTCCAAAACAATGCGTAGAAAATAAGAGTTACTATTTTATGTCTAGAGATATTATGGTATATCTCTCAAAGCGTTAAGGACCACTAATCTAACAGCCTAATGTTCAACCAGGATAATATGTCAGAAGAAACGAATGCAAGTCTATCTGTAAGCTTGTACTTCATCAGTTAAGATAGAGATTCAGCTTTTTGTGAATACTAACAAGGGGATTTTGTGTTTTCACAGGTTATGGTTTTGTAGATTTTGACAGTCCTGCAGCCGCACAGAAAGCGGTAGCATCTCTCAAGGCAAACGGAGTGCAGGCACAGATGGCTAAGGTAAGATTGATGTTTAGGGGTGTGTGTGTGTGTATGTGTGTGTGTGTGTGTATATGTATGTGAGAGAGAGAGAGAGAGAAAGAGAGAGAAGGAGGAAGGAAGAAGGGGAGATGAAATGTTTTTCCTTTGCTCTGAGCTCACTCAAACTTGGAGTTTGCAACAATTTGGTTTATATTTTCTTGTTAGGGAAAATAAGAAACTCCACATGAGGTTTGGCTTAGGAGAATCTGTCTGGCTTATTTCATTGTTTCTTTATATATATTTATTATTGTATCTTTTGTTATGGTAACCTCATTAGAGATTTAAGGACACTTGTGAGTCTCTGTTCTGCTTGAGAAAGGTGGGGCATGTCAGTGTGTGTGTGTCTGGGACTTCTACTTGTAAACAGTAGAGTAGTAGAATGGAGTAGTAGAATTATCAGCAACTTGTCTTTGATAAACTGTGTGCTAAAAAATGTGTGTGTTTTCTTAGCTGGGGAGAGCTGATTGTTGAATGATGGGGTTGTCTGATCTGTGCAGGGAAATGAGCTTAATTGAAGTGTACTGTGTCTATATTGCTAGAATTTCACTTTGGCTTTTATATAGAGAGTTTTCTAAGATAATTTTGGATATTAATAATTTTCAATAATTATTGTTAAATAGAATATGTATTCTAGAACCCTCTACCTGAAGCTGTCATATACTTTATTTTCTAAGAAAAGAAGTTAAATTATTTACAATCCTTTTGTATCCCGATTGCAGTGGTGGTTACAAGAATCTATACCTGATAAAGTAACATAGAACTATATGCACACATTGTGCCAGTGTCAGCTTCCTGGTTTCGATATTGCATAATTATATAAAAGGTAAAATTTTTAGAAACCTCATGAAGGGAACATAGGATCTCTCTGTACTATCTTTGCAACATCTTGTAAATCTATAATTATTTCTAGATAAAAACTCAAAACAATTGTTTATAACATGGATGCTTGTTAGATGTCTGCTTTAAAATGATGGCCATTTAGGATTTATTCACCTGCAACCTAAGTCTTCAAATATGCTTTCTGATTGATAATAGTGAACTTACTTATCTCCAGATTCTGTAAATTTTAGGTGAAATTGTCAACAGACCTTGAAATTCTGATCTAATATATTCATGCTGTGTTCATGTATACACTTAAACTTAACTATTCCCATAAGAGTTGAGTGACATAATGATAAAGTAGTCAAATTTTCAGTTATTTGGATTTTATTGAGATTGCTAACATTATTTTATAACATTTTCCAATTTTGACCTCAAATAACTAGAGGTAAGATATTTGGTTTCTTCATCTTCGGTTGTCTTATAGTAAATTATACAGACCATATCTGTTAACCTTTTGTTGCGAGTCACTTCCCATATAGATTACTTTGGTGAACTCATTGTCCTTTATGACACATGAATAGTTGTCCAAGGCAGTATAAATTTGAATTCTTTCAGCTGTGTAATGTATTCTTCATCAAGATTATGCCTGGAAGCTTTGGATTTTTTTTTCATGAACTAAGATTGATGAAGTTAGTATCTTTAATTAATAAGGAAATTATATACATGTCTTGGTTTAAAGATTACTTGGCAAAGAGTCAATGGCATTAAGTAGTGACTTCCTATACCCAGAAAACAAATGATGAAATGTAGCTGTTAGGTATATGTAAAATATATAACTTGAATTTGGACTGAAAGCAACACCTACTTCCAAGAAAATGAATATAAAATGCTTAACGAAAAAGTTGTTATTGGAATTTCTTGATCTATTCCATTGGTAAACTCCCAAATCTAGAAGTTAGCAGATTGTAGCACTTTAGAAGTAATGAAAACAGCATGCATAATCTCCACCATTTCGAATGTCCTCAGAAGATGTATAGTTAGTTGTTAGATAAAAACCACTGCCATCTTGTGTAACAGGAAAAGAAAATTGACATTGATTTTATAACTACTGAGGAACCATTATGAATATTTTTCCTAAGTTTCCCAGTATTCTGGTGCAGCAAGAATCCCTCTTTCTCCCTCTCTCTTACCCACCTCCACACACCCACTGACTCTTTCGTTCTCTCTCTCTAATCACTGACATCTCACCTAGTCAGAAGGCTATTTGATTTGGATAAATATTTTAAAGAGTTCCTAAAATGATTATTTTTCCTAGCCAGCATTTTGGCTGTTGGCTCGTGCCCACTGTACAAAAAAAGATATTCCAATTGGAATGTGTAAAGTCACTTTTATTTCTGTAGTTTGCTCAAAGATTTTACCTTATGAATTCTGCTGCCTGTGAAGTTAATTCTTATTCTCTTAGCTTCAGACTCGTATCTGCCTACTGGAAAACCTTCAGCAATGAATGACTCTGTAATTTAACTATCCATAAGAAAATAAATAGGCTCCCTTTGACAATGAAATAGGACAAGCTTGACCACCTGTATTAGCAGATTTCTCACTGAGCTATTGGATTTCATGGCATTTTCCTCCTTTGTCCTGGTGATAACTATTATTTATTATCATATAAACCTGCAGTCTGCAGGGTGTGTGAAACGTGCACTATATTTTTTGCCATTTAAGTATCTACTGAATCACCTCCAGCATCCTTGTTCTTATCAATATCCTACTATGCAGGTTGTGGTGTCACATTTTAATGACTCCAGGATTTTAAAACCAAAATATTACAAATACTCTACTTTCCCAGTAGTAACCTTCAGCTAACATAAAACTCTCCCTGTGAATTGTCTTATTTAGCTAGCTTATTCCAGTGTGTTCATATGGAAAATCCAAAATAGCAAGTCATCCAAGAAGTGGTAATTGATTAATAATGAATAACCATTAACGCAGATGAACATTTTTCTGTATATTTACTGTTCTGTCCCAAAGGAGTGTTTTTGGTATCAAAAGACATGTTTCTTTTAGGAAATCAGATTCAGAATATTTTAGTAATACATAGTGGTTAGGAGCATACATTTGGAGGGAAGTAAACTTTGACTTGAATCCTGACTGTAGTACCACCTGGCTGTGTGACCTTAGCTAAGTTATTTAAATATCTCTGAACTTCTCTAATAATAACTCTCAGGTTATAGAATTGCTGTGAGAATTTAGAAAAAATACATTAAGTATTTAGCGTAGAGCCTAGATCATAGTAAGAATTTAGTCAATGTTATTCAATAAATATTGTTATACATTAAATTCAAATTTGCTACTAAACCTTTTATAAATCCTAATACATGTTTTAAGTGTGTGTTATTCCAAATTAGTGTCTTTAAAATATATAATAAGTAGCATCAGTCAGCAAACATTTTTATTGCTTATTCTGTCTAGGCAGTGTACTGAGTATTGGAGAATGAAGATAGAATAAAAATTCTTTTTTTCTGAATGTTTAACATTTCTTGTATCTCCTGAATTGCTGCAGCTTCAGACTAAGAATTTTGGCTGTTACTGTTTCTGGCAACTTCAGGATATAGAGAAAAAACTTATTGGCCAAGGAATATGTGTCTCTATAAGCATGAAAAAAAAGTGAAGAAATCCCTGCTATCAATACGTTAACTTGCAGATATTTATTTTACTCATGTATGAAGAAAGCCATAGATAGACAGCGGAGGGCAATTCTTTGGGGTGCCATCAAGGATCAAGACAGCTCTCCCATCTTTTATCTCTGGCTTTTATGTCACACATTTATAAGATGGCTTCTAAAGTTCCAACTCTTGTATCCACAGTTAATCCAGGAAAAAGAGAAAAAAGCAAATAGATGAAGGGGCAGTATGGCTGATTTCATCCTTTTAAAGGCTTTTCCAGAATCTCAACTCAGCAACTTGTGCTTACAACTCAAAAAGCCAAAACTGAGTCACATGGTTTCCCCCTTTCTTGTAAGAGAGTATGAAATGATGAGTGTTTTGACTTCTTTGCCTCTGCAGTAGAGAAAATTAAGAATAATCCATCCCCTTGGCTATCCAGCATCCATGATATCATTAAAGGTGGCATGCATAGATGCATTTTAGGTGGCATGCATTCTTTCCCAAAAGGAACCCACCTCAAACCTGTGATTGCATCTGGTGATTCCGTTATCTCCAACAGGCCCCATGAGCTCCGTCCTCTTCCATAGGCTCAGGCCAAGTCCATACAGCCCTTTTAAGAAGAGGGTAAGGCTCATCCTCCTGGTCCCTGGTAATTCCGCCCACCAATTGTAAGGTACTGGAACCCAGAAGCAACAGGATACATGCATTTAAAGGAAAATGACTATTTAGGAAAGGAGAAAATGGGAAGCAAGCCTAAATTATTGATCTCAAATACATATCAAATCCTGTTAGGTGGAAATAGAATTCTTGCGTTGTCAGGGCAATAAGTTCTTTGGTTATCCAATCACATAACCCCTGATTCTGTCATACAGAGAGATCTTACTTGCCCCTTATTCTATGTGGCCTCATTGGGTCCTCGCTAGAAAACTGCACAGCTTTGGAGGCTTTTCCTGGATATATTTAGAGACACTAGAATGGGTCTACATATTAAACAGTCATGAATTATTACCAGCCAGTCCTTGAGTAATCTCAGCCTTAACAGGTCTCTTTCTTATTTGCTTTCTGTCGATTCCAAATATGAGTAAACACAGTGCATCTTATTCTAGAGGAAAAGTCTGCAGAAAAGAAGTCACTTCCTCTCAGGGTCTTCAGATAAGACTTCATCAGGTGTACTACCAGACTGCCATTACAGTTCCCAAAGGTGATTCGCTTCCAGTGGGATTTGTAGAGTAAATCTCAGTTAAGCAATCACAAAAGAGACTAAGTTTCCCAGAGGATGTCAAGTACCTTGACAGGCATAATATAAAAATATTATATCTACCATGACAGAAAACTAGATTGAGACCAGAGGAACGGACTTCTCTTATAAATCAATGACCTTGATAGCAGTTGTCTTTGAAAAAAAGAAAAAAAAATCAGTGGATTTTTTAAATTGAAATTAAGAAGACGAAAAGTCAAAATCAAGGAATATACCAAAGCAAATATTTTAAATTC